GGCGGAGCCCAGCCGGGATGGCCAGCCAGATGCGCGGCTGCTGATGTCAGGCCTGCCGGAGCCTCCGCCGCCGCCGCCTCCTTGCTGCCCTCTGGCGGCCCAGGCGGGGAGGGGCCCGCGCCCGCCAGCCAGGGAGCCCCAGCCCCGGCCTGCAAGTACCGCCGCAGCCGGGACCCCCGTCGGCCGCCTCAGGCCTGGCCCCGGCCCCGCTCCGCAACTCTCCGAGCGCCGCTCTGCCCGACGGCGCCCCACGCTTCTCCTCGAGCCAACTCCGGGCCCGGCCGCGAGAGGCCCCGCCAGAAGCCGAAGCGCTCGGTCCGGACTCTGCTCTCGGCGCCTTTCTGCCTGTGGCCCTTCGGCAGCCCCTCTCGCCCCTCCGCAAGCGGGCCTCCGGAGAATCGGGGGTGGGGACGGTCTCCTGCCTGGGAAAAGGCCCAGCGCCAGGGCCGGTTGCCCTGCGAAGCCTCCAGCTGCTGACCGCAGGTTGGAGGCCTGCAGTGGAGGAGCAGCTGTGGCTGAGGTAGCCACACAGCTCTTTCCCCGAGGAAGGAATTGTTGTTATTCATGACTGATGTTCCTCCTCTGACACCCACAAAATGAATGGCAACCCTTTGATCTGTCAGGCTCAATCCGGGGTCTCCTTGATGTGCGGAGGCCGGGAGACTCTGCGCTTCAAGGAAACCATCCCTGCGGCTCTGACAGGTGAACGGGGAGGAAAGTCCCCTCCCTGTTATCCCAAGAATCAAAGAAACAAACCACAAACCACCCACAAGAGTGGGGAAGGATTCGTGTCAACATCAATGACAACAAAACCTGAACATCTCAAGTTTGACTACTGAGTTACTCCAAATGCAGCGGTTGTCAAGGGCAAAAACCTCCCTTTGAACCTTCCAAAAGAACTACGCATTGTAGAGGATTGGTCATAGAAAAGCTTCTTCCCATCCTTACAAATCCAGTTCAGATGATCTTGGCAGACATTCACCCTTGTGCTTCATGGGAAAGGTCCAATGACTGAGCTCACACAGGTTTGCTTTTAAATTTGAGGATGCTTTTCATGGCTTGGTGATTCTGGGCAACCACTTTGGTTCAAGATGTTTTGCAGACCATACTAAAAAGCAGAGACATCACCCTGCCAACAAAAGTGCGTATAGTCAAGACCATGGATGCAATGTATGGATGTGCAATGTATGGATGCAATGTATGGATGTGAATGTATGGATGTACATGGATGGATGCAGTTGCAATGTATGGCTGTGAAAGTTGGACCATAAGAAAGGCTGAGCGACAAAGAATGGAGACCTTTGAACTCTGGTGCTGGAGAAGACTCCTGCGAGTCCCCTGGACTGCAAGGCGATCAAACCGGTCAGTCCTAGAGGAGATCAAACCTGACTGCTCTTTAGAAGGCCAGATCCTGAAGTTGAAACTCAAATACTTTGGCCACCTAATGAGAAGGAAGGACTCACTGGAGAAGAGCCTAATAATGCTGGGAAAGATTGAGGGCAATAGAAGAAGGGGACGACAGAGAACGAGGTGGCTGGATGGAGTCACTGAAGCAGGAGGCGTGAGCTTAAATGGACTCCAGAAGATGGTAGAGGACAGGAAGGCCTGGAGGAATGTTGTCCATGGGGTCGCGATGGGTCGGAGACGACTTCGCAATTAACAACAACAATGTAATTCCAAAACCAAGATAAGCTTGTTTGGTGAAGGCATCTTAAGGGTCTCCTTGCAGACCAGCTGCTCTAAGGCAGGGGCTCACCTGGTGCTTCCTTCAGGAAGGATTGGTGGCCTTTGGTGCCCTCTCCCAGCAGACACTGGCACAGCAGGCCCACAGCTGGGAGGAGGGCAAAGTCACCCTGCCTCGGCAGTCAAGCTGGGGAAGGGGAGGAAAAACAAGCCCCCCAAGATGATTGGGCAGGCGGGAGGTTTAGCTGGACGTCAGGGAGTCCAAGTTTTTGGCCAGGGAAACAGGCTGTGACAGGAAGTGAGGAGTTCTTTACTCGGAGCAGAGATGGTGTCCTGGATTGTGCACTGAGCAGTGGTTGGGAGAACATAACCTCTGCGGCCATTCCAAGAATGGATGGAGAATGAAATCCTGGCACTCTTCGGGGCACGAAATCCTATTTGTCTGCCCGGGAAGCGGCAGAGCAGCGATTCCCAGCTTCTCTGGCTATGAGTCCGCTGGGGATGGTGGGAGCCCTTTGTGGGCATCCTCCCAACTCCCCATGTTGGCTCCTTTTGTGGGGGAGGCACTGAAGAGCCCTCCACACTGATCGATCTCAGAAAAAGAACCGGGAGGCCGCTGCAATCACTATCCAGAAACAGCCAGAAGCTGGCTGGGTCTCTGTGTGGAGAGGTCTCCTCTTCAGTTTCTGAGGCTCTTCAATCTCTCATTCACTGAATCTGGTCAGGGAGAAGACAGCTGGGTCCACTCATGGGGAAAGCTGATTGACCGGTGGTTGCTTTTGCAGACTTTGACCCAGAAAAGGGATCCGTTCAATAACCAGGTTAAATGTATGGTACAAACTCAGCTGGGTGACCAGTAGGCTTCCCTCTTTGGACCCTGTCCACTTGGTTGGGGGAGATCTCCTTGACCACCAACCATTCAGCCTCTTCTCCTGGGTCTCTGAGAAAGATCCCTCCATTTGTTCAGGATCTGCTCCTTTCAGTTCTGTTTCGTTAAGTATGCGTTGGCTGGGTTCACCCCCAAATAATTTGGGATAGTGAAACACTATTGGTATGTGCATATAGCACACTGTATCCAACAGTCTTAAGGTAATGGTTGCATTCACACAAACTGCTCAAATCAGGTCTGAGTTCCCACAATAGGAGAACCACAAACTACCCATTCCATTTGAGTCTTGCCTAACGCATTGTGTGACCTTGCACATCTGTCCCAGAGATGGGTTTTCTCACATTCGTCTGCAGATTGAAATCGGGGGGACCTGAGAGGTAAGAAGATGGCCCCCAACACTCCAGGTACTGGAATAATCTTTTTTTTAAATTCAAAACCTGCAGCTGGATTTACACGAGGGGTGACTGCCAGGAAAACTAGGGATTTTCAAAGTCACAGGTCAAATAGGACACAAGTGACTATACCTTTCCAGCCATCAAATGGGTTAAAATATCAAAAAGAAATAAATTGAGACAGCCACCTCATCCCTTAGAGCAGGGCTTTTCAACCTTTTCACCCATTGTACCACTTTTAGGATATGGCAATATCTGAGTACCACCAGTCGCCCAGCAAGGTGTCAAAAACTTGACCCCCCCCCCAAAAAAAGGAAAGAAGTGATAAAGTACAGGTAGTCCTCGACTTACAACAGTTCGCTTAGTGACTGTTCAAAGTTACAATGGCACTGAAAAAAGTGCCCCCCAAGCCACAGCCGAGCAAGACACCTGCCTGCCCGCCCGGCAGCGCTCTTCCTCCTGTCTGAGGTTTTCATTGTTGTGAGCATTTCTGTTGAAGATGGGCAGCGGGGGTGGGGTGGGGGGTGTTTGGTTTTTATTCTCCCCGTCTGCTGGGTGGTTGCAGCAGGTTTTGGTCACTTCACATGACCCTGGGACATTGTGACCATCATAAATATGAATCAGTTGCCAAGCATCTGAATGTAAATCACAAGACCCTGGAGATGCTGCAACATTCCATCTGATCGGCGCTTCTTCAAGGCTCAGCAGAAGCACCAGGATCAGTGCTGCTTTCCAGCTGATTGGTGCTTCTTCAGGGCTCAGCAGAAGCACCAGGATCAGCGCCGAGCTCCAGCTGGAGCCTGGCGCTGATCCTGGCGCTTCCACTGAGCCCTGACAGCCCTGCAGCTCCAGCCGTCTCTCACTCAGGCTTGTGCGGTGCTGCCACCGGTTCAGCTCATTCCCCTCCCCCACTTCCACTTTTCTAGGATGGTCGCGTACCACCTGCCAGGGGCCAATGTACCACAGGTGGTACCCGTACCACTGGTTGAAAAGCCCTGCCTTAGATGAGCTCTTGGAGTCTGCTTTGTTGATTTAATTAGGAAACAATGCAGTTATTTTCCTTTTTAGCTCATCTGTTGACTTATACCTTGCTTTTCCTCCAGGGGCTCCAGGTGTGCAACCTTTTGCGAAGGCTGCCTTCTGTTTTGGTTCCTCAACAACTATCTTGTGAGGTGGGTTGAGCAGAGAGACTATGGCAGGCCTGAAGCCCCAGGGAGGGAGGACTTGAACCCTCGTCCTTCCCTTCCCTACTGGCGCCCTCTTCTAGTCACACACCTCCTGCCCCATCTGGAGCAGGGCTGGAAGGAAGCTTGTGAGGGCTGTTGTGAACAGCTGCCAGCTGTGGGAAGCAGAGGAGTCCAGACTGGGTCAAAGAGTCTGGCTCCCTCCTCCAGGACTGGCCCAGAATGAAAAGGGGGAGGCAGGAGGCCAATTGGATTAGGGGCACGGGCTCCCTTGGCTTCTGCTCAGAATGGGAGGCAGAATGGGAGGCTCCAGCCCTCCCTTCCCTCCATGCCTCCTGGGGCCTCCTGGAAAACCTCACCTCCACCACCCAACCCGTCAGAGCGGCCTTTGCTCTTGGTATTTGTCCTGGCTTTGTGTGGACGGCACTTCCTGGAAGCAGCTGGGCTTGAATTGCGGATGGTTTCAGCCACAGGCAGTTGCATCCGTGTGTGGGCTGCACACTGATGGCCGCAGAGGAAAGCAGAGCTGGTGGGAAAGTCTCCCTCTCTCTTTCGGGAAATGACAATTTATTTTAAATGGGAACAGGTGGCTCTCTGTTAGGCATTTGAAATGCCTGCTTTAGTCTAATTTGCAAACACGGAGTCAGCAGGCAGCCTGTCCCCCTTTCTCACTGGCAAAGGCAGCCTGTTCCTGTTCTGTTTTTCTGTTTCCCCATCAG